TAATTCCTTAAAGGCTGTAAACCTAATCAGTGTTTTGAGATGAGCATTGAATGAACAGCCTGTGAGGGTAGAGTTGCATGGATTTGCTGACGTTTAGGAAGTGGCATATGGAATGGTCATCTATGTAAAATCCATTCATTCTTATGGTAATTCTGAGGTTAAACTTCTCATTAGTAAATCTAGGGCAGTGCCTCTAAAGTATATATTTAGACTGCATCCCAAACTCTGTGCTGATGGAAAGAATTATTATTAATCATAGTATTAGGTAAACTGATGAGAAGGGGTCCTTTAAGTGCATTAAAACTAGAGGTTTCTGAAACCTTTTTCTGGACAGACAGCACCATTGTACTGGCATGGTTAAGGAAGGCATGTAAAGATCTCAAAACTTTTGTTCTTAATCGATTATTGATCATCTAAAATCTATCTGTGGTTGAACAGTGGCATCATGTCCCTTCTAAACACAACTTTGTGGATCTCATATCGAGAGGTACTGATTTGGTCAAACTTAAACCGTGTGAACTGTGGTGGTGTGGTTCCTCCCATTTCTACTCTAGCCTGTGATGACTGACTGGTAAGATCATGTCCCTGTGGAATCCGAGGAACTCTTTCTTCATGAATTAAAACCACCATTAATAAGTGAAATACATGCACTTATTACCACTTCTGAGCCATGTCATCAATGAATCTTCATCTTACAACAAATTGCTAAGAGTGAAATATATGCACTTATTACTACTTCAGAGCCATGTCATCAATGAATCTTCATCTTACAACAAATTGCTAAGAGTAATGGCTTGGTGCAAGAGATTCTCTTACAATGCATTCTCGCATAAACACCAGGCATCAATTGACATCCAGTGAAATTTCTGGTGCTTTATTGTGTATTGTGAAAAATGTTCAAAGGACTTAATTTGTGACAGAAATCCAATGCTTAAAGAGTGCTCCTATTCCTAAAGGTAGTAAACTATTGAATTTGCATCCATTTTTGGATCATGATGACTTACTCAGAGTCGGGGCAGATTAAAAAACAGTAACTTAAGTGAAATGAAAAAACGTGATGGTTCTGCCAACTAAACAGAATTTTACTGTAATTTGGATTAGTCATTTTCACATTCTTTAGTCTAATGCCAGAACTGAAACAACACTATCACTTATAAGGAGTAAATTTTGGATTGTTTCTGCAAGAAATGTAATTAGAAAAATTATATTCAATTGCATAATTTAAAAAAGGTAAATTCCAAGTCTGGGCAGCAAGAGATGGCTAATTTATCAGCTGTGAAAGTGACTATATCTGGAGACTTTGCTAGAATAGGTCTTGAATTCTGTGGTCTCTTTGTGGTAAAAAAATTTGTAGGTAGAAGTAAACAGGTAAGAATATTTGCATTTTTGTTTGATTCACTATGAAGGCCTTGCATTTTGAAATTGTGAATGATTTAAAAAGTGCAACACTTATAGCAGCACTTCAAATGCTTCTTGAATACTGAGTTTGACAATGGTTGGAATACACGGCATTGTACAATAAATTTTGCATTACATTACCAACAATACAGTACACAATATACTTTTTTAATACTTTTTAATATCAATAATGTCTTACCGTGCCAAAATTCATCAATTTTTTTTGAATTAGGAAACCTCTATGTTACATGAACATTTGTTTTGTATAGCATTTGCCATTATCTGCAGTTTTATGGATCTTTCCTATGTCCTATAACAGATTACCCATGGATATGCTTTATATTCTCTTATTTCATGAAGTAAATAAGGAAGGGTAAACAAAAACTACTACAGAAATGGCCAGAGAAATAACAAATAGTTACAAATTATATATATATATATATATATATATATATATAATCAAGAAATAACAATTAAATCAAAATTAAACCATGAAAGGGGGCAACTTTCCAATATGAAATATTCAAATCAAAATTAACACAAAAAACCATTCAATAAAATTAATAAAATATATTAAACTGATTTAAATATTAAATAAACTATTAAGTATTCTGCAACACTTTATATCATCTTAACTTAAAATTTTCTCATCTTTTGCTTATGTACTATATAAATATAAGAAAGAAAAAGAAGAAAAAATATTTGCAGAGATTACCTTAGCATGTCATTTTGTATGAGTGTTATACATATAATATACAGTCAAAAGTCGTTAATTCGGACACCCATAATCCAGAATGATCTATAATCCGGACCTCAAAGCTAAAAACTTTCTGCGCATGCGCCACGTTGACACATGCGCATAGGCATTTTACGCGTGTGCGCAAGACATTTACGACTGCGCATATGCGTTTGCGCAAGCGCAGAATACGTTTTCGTGTGCGCGTTTAATACATAACGGACAATATAAGCTAAAATTATCTAATTATCTATTTCAGTTAATGTTGATGATTGCGTTGTTCCTCAATCTTCGAACTGGATCCGGCTTATTACTTTTTTCAGACTGTAAGAGCAATTTTATAAAAGTAAACTTGAACTTTCGATTATGTCAAATAGAACTTCCGATGCTGGAGCTTCCAAAGGATCTACAAAACGAAAGTATGTTTCAATGTCTATCAAACAAAAAGTGGAATTCCTGCAAAAAAATGGATAAAGACATGAAGAAGGTGACAGAGAGGTTAGCGAAAACGAAAAAATTTTGATTGACAAGTTAGTCGGTATTCTCGGCACAGCAATTACGGGACTTGAATAGCGGAACTTTGTAACTGAACAAGAAATTATGTCTGTTTATAGAATTAAAGAGAAAGTATTGTCACATAAAACGAAGCAACTTAAACAACTTACATTAAAAGAATGTTTAATAAAGTAAACAAATAAATATTAAGCTTTTTTTTTGTAAATTTTGATACCCTTTAGATCATAATTGTTCTCTATTTCATAAATTACGGTTTCATATTTTTAATTTTGTAATTTCTGCATGCCATCTTACCAGATTTAAACTGATGATCTATAATCTGGAAAAATCGATAATCCGGAATCGCCGAAGTCCCGACGAGTCCGGATTAATGACTTTTGACTGCATATAAATGCTCAATTCTTTTTACAACATAAAGCTATGAAAAAAAGGCAGTAATGAATTTTTGTTATGCTAGGGTTTAATTACTTATATCAGGTTTCTCCAAATAAAATTCTCTTTTATTAAGCAATAGAAATTTGCTTTTTTTCTGTAAGTGAGCATAATGCTAAATTGAATTTTTATGAAATAAAATTGTTATTCTTTTTATTCCATATTTGTCAAAATTATCTTTCCTTTTAAAGTTTCATTATTATTGGAGATGCTTTGTCATACAGAATCTTTCCCCCCTTGCAGTGGTAATTTTCAGAATTGATTTTCTTAGAAGTCTGATAAAACATATTAGACTAAAATAACAAGGAAGGTAACTCATTGAATTGTTCCCCATTATTTTTCATTTAAAGCTTTAGTATCATTCTGGATAATCTACTGGTTAGTGGAGGATGACTTTTAGTTTGAATTCTAAGGTGCAGTTCAAATCCTGTGAAAGGTCTTATTATTTGTGTGTATCCTTGCTCTATCCTTTTTGTGGGTGTAATATTGGTGGCCTACTATGATTCACTCCAGAAAAAATATTCTTGTTAATGAGATGGCTAAATGACCAATGGATCTGGCCATCTCCAAAAATGCATTAAGTTGCAGGTACATTTGATGTTTAAAAAACAAAATAAATGAATTTTTAAAAAATCTGAAAGAATTCAAATTTTGACATCACACCACAGGGTTTGTTAATATCTCTTATACTCTCACTGAGCTCCTAGTTTACCACTCTGCTCTAGGACACACTCTTGCTAATACAAGTCTTTTTCATACTTTTAAACCACATAAAACTCAACAGCAAAATCACAAAATTTTTACCAGCAGCATATTTTTAGAAACCCAATACAATTTTAATGCATAAATATATTTTTTCTGTCTTTTTCAGTTCATCATGACAATTTCAGTTTTCATATTTAAACCATTTTACAACTTCATCTTTTTGTTATTAACTATTTGTCTTTTTAATTCTATTTATTAAACATCCCTTTTGTCACAATTCTAAAGATATGCTGCTTTTAAATATTTATAGCTCGCAGCCTAATTGGAGGCTTCTCTAGTAAAAAACAAAAACTGCAATTAAACTGGGCATCAGCGAAAAAGGAAAATGCTATTCCAAGGGGAAATCCGAACAACTAATGTTAGAACACACATGCCAGTCAGAGGAGAAAGTTACAGAAGGTGCAAATATTGCAGCATAAAAGTAAATTAGAAAAGTACCAAGGTGTTATGTTCAACATGTCATGTACCATTCTGTGCTGCTTCGTGTTATAAATAAAAATTAAAATTAAAATCAGGTAGTGCATTTGGTTATATTTATATCTGTAATCAATTTTATATTAATCATCAATTTTATATTATACGTATATTTAAATAATCAAGAATAAATAGTTTTCATCAAAAATACATATTTATTTGTGATATTTTTATAATTATGATTTTTTTCTTTTGCATAACTCACTAAAATGCCATTGCTTATACCGGGCGGTGGTAAATATGTTACCACCCCTATTATAAACAACAACAACAGAATTCCCAAAATAGTATTTTTTATCATAAACGAGCTACTTTTCCCTAATAGTTGCATAAAATATGAATTTGGAAAATAAATGGCCTGGGCCCGATAAAGGGTTAATACATGGCAGTAACATTTGGTGACGATATCCGTTTGTTTGAAATGTTATATGAACAAAAATGTATGGATTGAAACTAATTTTACCTCTGGTGTTTAAATTAAATTGATAACACAATAAAAAATAATAATATTAGAAATTAATTTCACACACATGTCTGCTGACGCATACAGATCACAAAAACTGAAGGAAAAAAAAGAATTTCGACATATATATTATTTAGAAATATATAATATTTTAGGAATATATATTAAGGAAAGGTACACGCATTTCAAAATATCATTTAAAATAATACATAATACCTAAATATTCCAGATGGCTCAAAGCTGCAAGTCCTTCAATATTCTCAATAAGATTATTTGGCATTTCTAGCTTTTTTAGATACGTAAATTTCCATAAATCAGCAATATTGATTAGACCTATATAAAAATATATATAACAAAATATATCAATATATATATAGATAGATAAATGATGCAATCTTTAATGCAGATTTAAGTATTTGTTATTTATTAATAATAAGATGAAAATTCAGAAGTTAGGTATTAATTAATAAATATATAATTAACTGAAATCAGCATTTAAACTTAAGCAAAAAAACAACTTCATTCTGGTGCAGAACTGAGATTAAATACAGACTTAAAGACATCAGAAAAGTTTTTCTTCCTTAGCAGAGGAAAAAAAAATTCAAATAAAAGAAATGAGAGATATGTATTGAAAGTAATAGAAAAGCAAAGACAAAACAAATATACAGTTAGCTGTTCAGAGAAATGGTAATGAAATATGGAAAATTTGACTGCAGATCAGTGGAAACGGGTTCTTTGGAGTGACAAATCAAGGTTCACCCTTTACCGTTCGGATGGCAGGGTCTGGGTCTGGTGTCTACCTGGAGAACGTCTCCTGCCAGAATGCATTGTGCCAACAGTCAAGTTCGGCGGAGGTGGAATTATGGTCTGGGGGTGTTTCTCCTGGTATGGGCTGGGACCCTTGGTCCTTATTCATGGTAAGCTCAACTCCGATGCCTACTGCACTATTTTGGATGACAATGTGCTTCCTACGTTGTGGCAGTTTTACGGGTTGGACCCCTGTTACTTTCAGGATGACAATGCCAGTTGTCAAGTTTCGATGTTAACCAAGGCTTGGTATGGTGCCAATAGAGTTCATCGAATGGACTGGCCTGTCCAGAGTCCACACCTGAACCCTATCGAGAACCTCTGGGATGAGTTGCATCGCCGAATTCAGGAGTGTACTACTTGTGCAAAATCGGTGAAGGAACTTCTATGTCTTCTTCAAGCCGAGTGGAAGAAAATACCACTAGTTGTCATACAAAGACTTGTGGAAAGTATGCCCCAGAGGGTCCACGCTGTAATTACCTCTCATGGAGGCTCTACCAACTATTGATTTTGAATAAAGTTAGTTTTTCTTTTCTATCACAGGTGTCCAAATACTTATTGGTAGTCAGTGTATAACAATTCTCTAACACATGTAATTTGACAAAAAACCAGACTTTTTCTAAAATAACATCCCAATTTTTTTCCATATTTCAATTCTATGACTCAAATTATGCCTAGATATTGAATTTTGTAATTTTTGGTGAGACATTTATGGAGAAATTTAAAAATTTAGCTTGGCTTCATTGTTTTCAGTTTGCGCCAAGAGTAATTCACTTGGCGAACTTCTTAATTTATAGCAACCTATTTTCCTTTCCTTTTTCTTCATTGTGTATGAGTGGGAAAAAAGTCATCATGCATACTTTCAAATAATTTTTAATAAAGTGCATAAACCACATTTTCATTATTATTGCTTATAATAAATATGCCAAGTTTCAAAATGTAAACTAACATATATCTTAGAAAATTTTGAATACAAATGTCTAATTTTTGCAGGTATGCTTAGAAATATATCTACGTTAAGATGACATTAAAGCTTTTATACGGTGTAATTCAAAATTTTTTTCGAAAAATTTATAAAAATTTATTTAAAAATCAAAATTTAACCCGTAACAGGGGAAGTGAAAAAGTTGAACATAACAGGGGACGTGCGGTCTCAGAAACCACGCATTTAAAAAAATTTTTAAAAATCGTCTAATTAAAATATCATCATGATATTTCACTTAGATGTTCTTTAAAAATTTTACTCTGAAAAGGAAATATGTTTTTACACTTACAAACACTGAAAATATGTTTAGTGAAATTAAATTTTTCCCAGAAAATTTCCCCATAGCCTTAAATTTTTCGATGAAAATCATATGCTGCACTAAATTCTATAAAACTAAAAATAAGAATGCATCTATTTTGAGTTAACTATTTTATCTATATTATTTAATATTTAAAGCAAATTTTAACCAGAGAAAATTGTGTGTAGCACAATACAGAAAAATTTTGACAGTACCTGAAATATCAGTATCTCACTGATTTTCTGATAGTAAGCAATTTAGTTTTCATCTTCTTTAGCACATTCATTGCATAACTTTTACGTGCATTCCAAACAAACAGGGTCTTGGCAAGATAATATGCTGTATTTCTTTTCTTGCTTGAGGGGCACAGATAACATGTTTTCCTTGATTTTAATTTTGCTTCTTTTGTGCACTGCTCCCCATCCTTATACTCAGCTTCTTTTCCTAAAATCCGCTTTATCGTCAGGCGCAATTCTCGATTTATTCTTCGATTTTTCACTCTTGTGTGTAGTAGTGGTTGGACTAATTCTCTCGCTAATTCTTTCAAAAACACCATTCTGATCATAACAGGGTTTTGGTTATAATTTTGGTGCAAAATGTATGCATTTACTGTACTCATATCTACTAAACGGTAGAAAAGAGCCATAGGCCAACGCGTTGTTCTCCTACTACAGGAATGGACAGAACATTTTTCATCTAAAGCATCAACATCACCTTTGGTCCTGTTATAAAAAGCAATTATTTCAGGTTTCTGTGTTTCCGAGTCTGTTTCTATCGCATGATGCGATGATGACATCAAAACTACTGCTCGCCTTTTCTTTGGAACAAATGAAATCAAGGTTATGTCCTTAGTATATCCATGCAATGTTGAATTCTCTTTTCTTGACTTACATGGAAGAAAATCTTTCGGAATTTCTTTTTTATTTTTTTTAACTGTTCCAATGTATGTCAGTCCATTTTTCAACAATTCTGTGGTACGTTCTATGGAAGAAAACCAATTGTCTGCTGTTACATTCCTGTTCATATTAAAAATTAGTTTGCTCAGAGGCAGAACAGCTTGACTTGGTTTGCTGAATTTTTTCCAACTCTCTTCTACGGTAATTCCATCAGAATCTTTTCTTCAATAAAGGTATGCATTGTAAGCATAATTATTCCGGGCATCAGTCAAATACATAACTTTTAATCCATATTTCACAGGCTTTTGGGGCATATACATTTAAAGTGACACTTTCCTCTGAATCCAACAAGCATTTCACCAACGCAGACGCAAGTGCCTAATGTGTATGCTTTCTGGGAGTTATAAATGAATAAATTCATCACTTCAGAAATAAGTACTGCCAGATCAGATTTCTTTCATTCTTCCCTATCATCTGTAGAAATCAAATCGCAAATTTGAAAGTAAAAATTTAAAACGTTTCATTGACATAACTGCACAAAAAATATCGCGGCCAGTTCCATCTGTGGCAAATAAGCATTCAATATCTTCATGATTGGATTTGAAGACTGTTGTGTAAATAAGTAAACCCAAAAGAGCTCTCAGTTCATCAACACAGGTGTAGTCAATTTCCCCTTTAATCGAACCACACATATTTTTTATTTTTCTTTCAATTTTTAGATTTGTCCATTTCACAATTATGCTTAAAAGTTCGTCAGTAAAAAGTAGTTGCCATACATTTTTTGGATCTGAATTATAAATTTTTCCGTAAGGTCTTAGTTCAGGAAGTCTTACAATATTGTGAGCTGGCCTTTTAACTTTTCAATTTGGTTCAACGGATGACCATTTGAACCGATTTTTTTCCATAGTAGTATTTTACGGAATTAGTTGTTTCTAGATCAGAGAAATCATTGCTGTCAGCAGAAAATTCAGAGTCTGTTGAGTGGGCACCTTTCGCAGAAATTTTCTTCACAGTCATCTTCTTCACTAAAATCACTTCCAACTTCATCTAGAATTTTTTTCAGTTCTTCTACATAACGCGGATCAGAAGGATAAATGAATCTCCGCGGACCTAACTTCAGAGCCATGTGTTTACTACTGCTGAAAAAACTGTAACACTGAGAGGGAGGTGAGGTCTCGCAGGCCGCTCTAGAAGAATTTCAACAGATACACATGCCAAAGCATTCCAATAAGAAGGGGTCAGAAAGAAGGTCACGAAACGTGAAGCTAAGAGAAGAATCCATTCAATTGGACAAAGCATGCAATAGGGGTGATGGGAGGAATATGTGGCGCGATCCGTCAGACCGCCGAATAGGTAAATTTTATTTGGAATGAACCTAAATTTCGAAATATGAAAGGAAGAATCAAAATAAGTTTAATAAAAAAAGAGATATTAATAAATATACATCAAAATCAATTAACATTGAAGAGTTAAAATTTTGAGAGCTAATTTTTTAAAACTACTTGTGCGACTTTTACAGAACTTGGCAGTTTGGCATAATTTGAGTTATATAATCAAAATATGGAAAAAATTGGCATGTCATTTTAGAAAAAGTCTGACTTTGTGTCAAAATACAAATATTAGAACAATGCTTTATATAAATCTAATACATATCCTAAGTTGAGCTTTCGAAACATGAAAAACGCGGTGACCGGAAAAATGCACGCAGGAAAAAAGCCCACAGGAAAAGTGCCCATACAGAAATATGTCCACATAGGAAAAAACTCACATGGAAAATTGCTCATTTAGAAATATGCTTACATGGAAAAAAGCTCACACAGATATATGCTCACATGGAAATAAGCCCACTGGTAAATAAATACATAGAAATATCCTTATATTAATTAATCGATTTGAACATCATACACCTACTTGAATTTTTCAAAGAAAAAATTACCAAAACATCTACGGTATATATCAAAAACTGTATAACTTTTGTGTAGATTTAATTGCTATATAAAATTAACAAACGGGCCGTTTTGAATTAGGCAAAAAGGCCTGTTTCGGAAGGAAGGAACGGAGGAAGGAAGAAACATGAAACAGAAAATACAGCGAAAAATTATTACAATTTTAATTGTTAAAAAAATAAAATAATAGTAAGTGTAAGTTACACATTTTATAATATAAACATTTAGAAGAATAAGCAAATAGAAATAATTATTTTATTTAAATTACGTAAAATACCTTGTAATACATAAATCCTGTATATTTCACAGAAACTTATAAGGTATTTCTCCCACCTTCTTAGCATGCCTTCGTGGTGTTGTGGTCTGCACGCTGGGCACGTATTCCAGAGGTCCATGTTTCGATTTTCGGCAAAAGCTTTGCTCATTTTTCACATCTCCTGCTTCCAAAATATCTAATGTCTCTACAGTGACGCCCGAACTAAAAGGATGGTGGATGATGATTCTCCACACCCAGGATTTGGCGATTGGGTCCCCTAAAAACCCCAGTCACCCTTTAAAAGGGGGGAGTATATAAGGTATTTTTTCTTGCCTTCGTGGTGTAGTGGTCTGCACGCTGGACACGTATTCCAGAGGTCCGTGGTTCAATTCCCGACGAAGGCTTTGCTCATTTTTCACATCTCCTGTTTCCAAAATACTTAATGTCTCTGCAAACTTACTGAATATTAGCTAATATACGTAAATATCTAATTTTATCATCAATTTCATCATAGTTTCTTAATGATTTGCGATTACCAAATGTAAGTTTTTATATTTTCTTTTCTTTTCTTTTCTTTTTTTTTTTACTTCAGTATGCCTTGTATTTACAATAGCTAGTAATAAACGTTGACAGGCTAAATCTTTTTTCAGTCCGTCAAACAAAAACCACATACTAGGATGGCTACAATTAAATAATGAATTTAGTACCTTATGAAAGCTTTCATAATAATTTGTTGTTTTAGGAGATTTTTCTAAGGCTGCTTCATACTGATTCCACACTTTGATTGGAAACTGTGGTTTTCTATAACTTTTTTGGCTCCAAACTTAAATAACTACATTCAAACATCAATTTCTATAGATACAGATCAAAAGTACGCAAAAATAGAGTAAATAAAAAACAAAAATAAACTATTGCCAGTTACAGGTAAAAAAAAAATGTCATGCAGGCGGCAGTGGTATAAAATATTACAGTATATGCAAAATTTTACTATAGTTTTCATTCTTTTATATACCGCCCCTGAAAAGGTTAATACTATGAGCATTGGTCCAATAATTTTTTCAAATGATCAAATAATTTTTCTTTAGTTCAAGTAGGTGTGCGATTTTAAAATCTATTAATTATTGATTGATTAATTTAAGGATATTTCTACATATTTTATTTATCAGTGGGCTCATTTCCATGTAAGCATATATCTATGTGAGCTTTTTTCCATGTCAGCATATTTCTAAGTGAGCATTTTTCCATGTGAGTATTTTTCTACGTGGGCATATTTCTGTGTGAGCTTTTTTCCTGTGAGCATTTATACTTGTGAGCATTGTTCCTGTGGGTTTTTTTCCTAGAACCGAGAAATGCATGTTGAATTTCATCAATTGGCTCAGTAGAATGGGAGATAGAGCCAAAAGTCGTTAATCTGGACTCGTCGGGACTTCGGCTATTCCGGATTATCGATTTTTCTGGATTATAGATCATCAGTTTAAATCTGGTAAGATGGCATGTAGAAATTATAAAATTAAAAATATGAAACCATAATTTATGAAATAAAGAACAATTATGATCTAAAGGGTAACAAAATTTACAAAAAGAAAAAGCTTAATATTTATTTGTTTACTTTATTAAACATTTCTTTCAATGTAAGTTGTTTAAGTTGCTTCGTTTCATGTGATAATACTTTCTCTTTATCAGAAGCGAATTATAATGACGAGGAATTTGATTTAAATCAAAGACGGAGTACATAGAGATGAAATACTACATTTAGTAAGGAATTATAAGCGAAATAAAATAAAAACATATGCCCTGAAGATAAGGATAGTGCTGACAGATTAACTTCCAATACATTGCACGCCGCGGCCTTTCGGCGTTTTCCCGTCGGGCCGCAGAGCAGCGTGAAATTGATAAACAGATTTCGGAATGGTTTGAGAAACAAAGGATATGCCTTTATCCATTTTTTGCAGCAATTCTCCTTTTGTTTAATGGACTTCTAAACATACTTTCACTTTGTAGATCCTTTACATATTAGTAAATACATATCGGAAATTCTATTTGACATAATCGAAAGTTCAAGCTCACTTTTATGAAATTGCTCTAACAGTCTGCAAAAAATAATAAGCCGGATCCAATTCGAAGATTCAGGAACAATGCAATCTGCAACATTAACTGAATTAGATAATTTTAGCTTAGCTTATACCATCCATTATACATTAAACACGCATGCGCAAATATATTACGCACATGTGCACACACATATTCGCAGCCGTAAAAGTCTTTCGACGCATGCGCAGAAAGTTTGTAGCTTTGAGGTCTGGATTATAGATCATTCCGGATTATGGGTGTCTGAATTAACGACTTTTGACTGTATTATCCCCCCTTTTTTGTCTGCAGTGTACATGAAGATAACAACAGTGAAAAAAAAGAAGGATTTGTTGAAAAAGATTTAGCAATGTTCTTAGATTTTTAAATTTTATTGATTGATTGCTCTTGCATTGAACTCTTAATACACAACTATTTAGAAAATGGCTGTTGCTTCCCATGCATTAGCTTGGTGAAAAATTAGTCAACAAAGAGCTGGTTATATTTTGATGCGGCTGCAGATAATCAGAAAGTACCTAAAAACATTTTTGATGAAATAAAATATGACTTAATGAATTTGTTTTTCAATTCCATAAAAGGAGAAATTTCAGGAAAATTCAACAGACAAATCCCTACTAATGACATCAAAATCAATTCCTGATGATGATACATCAAACTGCAGCATCATTCCTAAAGAGCAACTGTGTGAACAGACTGTATTTGTGTGACATTTGTCATCATTTTATAAGCTTTATATAGTAATTTTATACAGTTTAAAAAGCTTGATTATAAACACTTTAAAATTTTGTCTTTGACAGCAAGAATCATTCAACTGTGATGCGATTTACAAAATAAGCAATTTTATTCTACAGCAGAAAAAAATATTAAAAAAACCCACAGAAATAACTAGCTGGAGGAAGTAATTATCTTCTACTAAAGTGGAAGAATTGGGAGAAACAATTTTTGAACTCATTTCATGTTTATACTATTTTCTATTCTATTTTTACAATTTTATTAGCCCAAAGGGCATTCGCCCAGAAGGGCTATTTATTTCGTTTTGGCATCTTGTGTTGAAAATTTTAAATGACCATTTCACTTTCCAAATTGTTGCCACCAAATATTATTGCCCTGTGTTATATTTAAAGAAATTAAATAATGAAGAATCTGCACAAATATATGCATGTTTCTTGCATTGTGATAAAACAGCAATACTTAAAGCCATCAAATTCTGAATAACGTAATCCTCCACCGAATATAGGCATCTGGAAACCCTAATTTGGAATTTGTTTTATTACCGATTTCGTAATACTTTACCGAATTTTTGATTAACAAACTCATGGATTTCAAAGCGAGCAATAGCAACACTGTACAGAAGAAAAAAAAAATTTTTTTTCTCTAGTGTGCAAGACTGTGTATTGGGAATTCTAAAGATATGCTCATTTTAAAATTATTTTGTGATATTGCTGTTGAGTTGAATTTTATGGTTTAAGTGTGAAGAATGTGATATCTAATAAATAAAGGTAACACACAGAACTTTAAAAAAAGTCCCTTTGGGCAGAATGTAAAATCTGAAGGCTTTCAGATTTTTTTTTTTTAATCTTTATTATTATACTATACATAACTATTTTTATAATTTAAGAAGTCTCACTTATGTGCTTGCAATAACCTGTTTTAGGGTAATATGTATTACCCCAAATATATGTGTGTTATTACACATATATATGGTGGTATGAAGAAGATCCCAGTAACTAAGAATCATGGCTGGAATGCCAGGGACAGCGATAGCAGATAGCTTGACTCTATTGTGCAGTAGACTGGAATCTTTACAAAGCACAAGCTTGATGATTAAATATATTTTATTTCTGAACCTAAACAATTCTTTAGAATCACATTCTGTAGAATTCACTCCACAATGGAAAATGCAATTATTTTTAAGAACTGCAGAACAGCGAACAGAGTTTAACTAGGTAGCAGGTGAGAAAGTAAGTGCATATAAAGCAGCTGAGCCTATAAATAATGTCGGCTTTTTTGTTTTGATTAGTCAAGAACTTTCCAATGCACAGAAAATTATGATCCAAATGATGCCACAATCCCTTGCAGGGGGAATGTATCTATGCTAAAATTAGAAGTTTACAAGGTTATTACCAATTAAGTTAGTAATTTATTTCAATTCAGTTTCATTTGTTAATAATGTTTCCTTCGTATTTTATCTGTACTCATGTATTCACTATGAGAACTCTGTGACATCTGTGAATTTAGAAATATTCTAAAACTGAATTTTTATTCATATCAGTAACAAAAATAGAAAACAAAATTGAAAAAAATTAAAAAAGAATAGAAAACAAAATTGGAAAAAAAAAAAGGACACCAATTTATAAAATTAACTCTACATAAACCTAAAGACAGTGTAGCAAAACAGAATCTCCCCCCCCCAATGCATGCAATAACCTATTTTGAAATTTTGATGATGAATGGTAAACTTGATTGTATTTACAAAAAGTAACTCACTATAATTTTCAAAATTCAAAGACAGTACAAAGCTTGGATGAAGACCGTCTATTTTCACAAGCCTGTGTAATTCTGAGACATCCAGATCCTCATCTTGAGCTACATGATTAACAATTTCCTCTTCTAAAAATGCATCTGTCATGACTGTTGGTTGATGTATCGAACTTACTCTATTCCCCATGCTTTATGCAGTAGTCAGAATTACCTGTTATAAAAAATTACAAAATTAAATCATTTACAAGTTTTTGTTTTAAATTATAAAATAAGCCTTTCAGAAGGTTACTTATTAATACAAGTAATTAACAATTATAGTAAGTTATTAATACAAGTTTTTTAAGTTACTTATTAATACAAGTAAGCTTAAATATTGATCTAGCAATTTTCCCTTCAGAATATTCAGTAGATCTTTAAGAGAAGTGGAAGGAGAAAAAAAAAAAAAAAAAAGAATCATGGATTACCTAACTGCCAAATGATAAAGGTTTATGCCTAAATTCTTCTAAGATAGAGCTATCATTCATGCTGAAAGACTGTAACCATAAAATGATATTATTGTACGACTACTGCAGCATTGAAATGGCACTACAACAAAGCATCACATTACAACAAAGTTTTTAGATCAGATGCTGGTACAAAAGTTCACTTATTCCTTTTCTGTTAGCAGATCAGTGTTTATTTACTGTTGGTAAGGGCCGTTCCTAGTAGGGGTGCAGCGCAGGCAGCCCACACTGCACTGAGAAATGAATCACACAGCAATATCTAAACATTCTTTTCTTTTTTTTTTAATATTAGTAATTGACTACCAAACAGCATGGTAACCTTTGATGTTGATGATTACAGATTTCTGCTAATTTCCCTACAAAGTATTGACAGGAAAAACTTAACAGAAATGTTTTTCTATATATAGGGAGGTGCTTGGGCAAGAGAAATTTAAACCAATTTTTGAACACTTAAGGTAATATGAGATTTGTAGAAGTAAAGGCTCCACATCCAGCCAAAGATTTCTTCACATTGATGATCTATGAAAAGAATTTTGGATCCACAGAGACTGTACCAGGCTGCAAAATATCTAGCTCCAGTCCTGGTATATATGAGAGTTTATTCATTCAGGACTCAGATAGCTTTAATCATGTGTGGGAAATAGGTGAAAGTATCTTAAATAACTAAACTAATACACACTTAATATTGTCTGCGTGTGACAGAAATAAGACAAAATTTAGCGAAACATCTCTTTAGTTGCCAATTTCATGATACATAAGTAACAGTGTATAGCAGATGCTAGTTAAGCTTTATAATGATACTGCAAATTTGAAGGTATTCAGATATCACAAATAAAGAGCAAAATCTCCCAATTAATGAAATTTTAAAAAATGTGTAGAAGGGTAATAAATGAAGATGATATAACAGAAGTTTTTCACTGTGATGACAATTCCTCAATAATCAATCAACTAACGAACAGCGAAACCTGATGTATGGTTCTAAATCTAGAAAATATTACTACCGACAGTGGCAGAGAGGTTGTTGAGAATAAAAAAATTTCGATAACAATTTAGTGGTATTTCTCAAAATCATAATCACAGGACTTAAACAAAAGAACTTCATAAGTGAATAAGAAATTATGCCTATCTGTATAATAAAAAGAAAGTATTAGCATAAGAAACAAAGCTAATTAAACAACTTACATTGAAAGAAATGTTTAATAAAGCAAATATATAAATATTGAGCCTTTTGTTTCTTGTAAATTTTGACTCCCTTAAGGTCATAAATTGTTTGTTATTTCATAAATCAGTATTTCACATTTTTAATTTGAAAATGTCTATGTGTTATTTTTAGTATTGATCCTAGAATGTTGGTCACCCATATGCAAAGTAAAATTGGCTGCCTTTTCTTTCACACAAATATAATATGTTTGATAATCATTTCGCCCCCTTAAATCAAGTCACTCATGCGCTGTGCACATGGAGGTAGGAAAGGGAGGAGGGGCCATTCCGCGCTAGAAGTGAAGCACTGCTTTGAAGCTTGGGTCACCAGACGGGGTGTTTCTTTGTTTACATTCAGAAGCTCGCTTGACAAGATTCTGATAGTATTTCGACACACCACAGTTCCATAGAAATCGAAAAAGGGACACTCTCGCATGAAAGAAACATTCATAGTGTGATGGATAATAGCAATTTGTATAGTTTACTGACATTTACGCAAAAATCACATCTTGGTTATTTTTCGATAACTAACAACAGCGATTTTGATTATGAATTTGTTTTATAAAATTCCAAGCTGTTGCAATACAAAATATAGATTTTAAGAAAAATGTTATGCTTAAAGAATGAAAAATACCTTACGGTACATTTAAAATTGTATACGTCTTTCGATACCCTTGATAGAGTATTCGCTACTTTTATTTTATTTTCCAAACGTCAAAATGTTTTAAATAAAACAAATTTTTTTCACATCCATATATTATTGTAACATGTACCTTTTAAAATTTTTTAGAGAAGAGGCTTTACTGCTGCTCGTTTTAAACCCATCGTTTTAATTTTATATATCTGAAAAATAATCACTTTGGGCTTACACGTTTTACTTATTTGGGTTAATTAAAAAATAAAATTACCATCAAATGCTGCAATCCTCGTCAAAATTATATGTATGGGTATTTATGCATGTGCTTGCAAAAAGCATGTATCTGCCTTTGACAAAATACTTAAATATTCATTAAATTATTTATAAATGTATTTGAAATGAAGAATTTATTCACTTATAAACAACTGTGAAAGTACTGTGAAGAAATCTAATGATTAAATGTATCTAATTTATAATGATTATAAATGTTATCTAAATATATAATAACCTTAACTTTGAGTTGTAAATAAATTGAAATCCTGTTGACAAATACGTTATAAAACTATTTAAGCAAGAATTGTTCGTATTAGAAAGCAATCTGTTAAAAGGTATTGTAAAGCAAATGCTATGAGATGCGCACTTAAGAACGTAATAAAGAGTTTTGGAATATGTATTGTTGAAATGAAGGGTAAAAAAAAAAAAATCTGATAAGTATAATTAAAAGAATTATTCCCTTACATTTTATAATAACTCAGTTACAAGTTTTAAATAATACTTAAAAAAAAAATTATTTTATTCCCTTTCAGAAATGTTCAGAGAAAGTCAAATACTATTTAATACCTATTTAATTATTAGGAATTAGCGAAATACTTATTTAAAGTATTTTGCTAATTCATAATAATTCTTTAATTTAAAATGAACCGAATAGAGCATTAATTATAAATTGACTTACATTTTTCGATTTAAAAGATGCCTCAGAAGCCAAAAAATCATGTCATATTTAAGAAAGTATTTTAGGAAGAAGCTCTATAAATAGAAAAGAAATAATGCATAATTTTAATATTAATAATGCAATAAACTTTGATCTTAATTTTTGTACCTTAACCGAATAAAATCGAATTACCTTAATTTTTTTTTCTAATGTAATTAACGAAAACTTGTGAAAATATTTCATTCAAATTAAACCATTCTGAGAAAACTGTCCTGTGAAAAGTATAGCATTTAATTCCGTTCAGAATGAAATGTTTAAAAATATGTTGTTTTCACATACATTTATATGTATATTTGCGATGTAATTACAAAATATTTACACCCGAACGCGTCAAATCCCATAGAACTCAATGGTAAATGACCCAATGTTTTGGTCACCACGTAGGGATTGCCGGTGCTTCAGAGCAGGGTACGGAGAAACTTGTTTAGGGCGACTCCTTCTTACTTCCTACCTCCATGGCTGTGCACCATCTTGCCCCCTACTACGATCAGTCCAAGGTTATCTTACTAGATTTAAACTGATGATCTAATATCCAGAAAAAGCTCAAATCCGTAATTTCTGAAGTCCTGAATTTTTTTTTACAGAAATATAATATGTTTCATAATCATTTCGCCTCCTTAATCATGCGCTGTGCACCATCTTGCCCCCCCTCGCTACGATCAATCCTGGTTATCTTACTAGATTTAAACTGATTATCTAATATCCAGAAAAATCTCAAATCCGTAATCTCTGAAGTCCTGAAGAATCCAGATTTCATATTCACATTTATGAATTGCAGTATTTATATTTGTTTCCTTTTATTTATTTCAGATTAACTAAAACAGCCACTCATTTCAATGATGCTGCATATAGTTTTAGCATTCCAATCTCGAGTTAGTTTCTGCATTAACATTTAAGTTTGATGCCAAGTGGAAGTATCTTGCTGAAAAGTACCAAGAAGTTCAACTATTCAAATCTTAGAACAGAAATCTTAGAACTAATATTATTGTTAAAATGAATTTGTTAACACTTTAGAAAATAAATTAACATGAATTCACAAAGCTAAAACAGGTTGTGCTGCAAATAAAACAATACTTTCTGATTATCTTCACCTCCTTCAAAAAGCCTTTACGTGACAATACAAGATATCACTAAACAATATTTATGTAGCAACAAGTATCCCCTTCCAGATGGCTTTCAGTTTCTCTGGAAATTTTGGGCAGTGTGACTGCAGATTGATCTCTCCTATGAAAATTTCAGCATTTAAACATAGTAGTGGATCATAACTGAAGTAGCCCTTTAGCAAAATCTAAAGACTCAGCAATCTGGATATGTAAAGTATACTGTGGTTCTCTTGACATCACGCACTTCTTTTTCACTTCTCATTTTAAGACTTGGATGCCAAAATTCAGCAAATCTCTGACCTTTTTTCCCAAAAACAAATGAACGTGTGCATGAAATTAACAGCAATACAAAACTAAGAAGGGTGCGTCTTGAATGGAAAAATGGAATTTAAAAAAGCATAGGCAGCACTGGATGTACTGTTGAAATAGATGTAAAGATACCCAAACAAATACTATTTCTCTAGAACTCTGCAGTGAGTTCGTGAATGGTCTTTAAAGTAGGCAATATGATTGCACTCTTTTTTATAGTAGACAATCTCAAGAAAATTAGAAATTACAATCATTAATAATCAGAAATACATTAATTGACATTTTATAGTAATAATCAGAAATAATAATCCATAAATAAACCAATAAAATCATATATATTAAATATCATAAATAATAAACCAATAAAACCATAAATGAACTTTATGACAGCAAATGTTTAATGCAGTCTCATATTTGTTTGGCAAGGTAAACAATGTTTATATTAAATAACCTAACACTTGACTTAAA